ATCCATAAATTCCTTAATATAATATCCCTTTTTACACAATAAATTTTTAATAAAGTTTTAAACGTGCCGTAGAACAAATTTTGTATATTTCCTCGTCCTGAGTTGCTGAGTGTATTACTCCTAATTTGTGTTATAATAACGTGACTAACTGGCTAAAGCAGTAGCTATCTACTGAATCGCCGGTGCAAACAATTAAACAAATGTTAAGTAGAAATGAATAAATTTTATATTTGTTTTTGTATTCGGATAGGGAATTTTTTATTAGTTGTTGATGAAAGACAATAAATATTGAATCAACATTCTACCTCCAGGTAAATGTTGAATGTATAATATGTAATGTTGACTGTGAATTTCAGTGTTTAAGTGTTAAAATATTGTTATTGGTCTACTCCAAACGAGCGTCACATTTTCATCGTCGGCGTCGATACCACGCAACTTCCTCTGAATGCAATTCTAAAAGAGCAGTTTCGACCGTAACCGTTCGACGAAGTAATGGATAAACATACGCATTCGTTTAACTCACGGCGCTCATAGCACGCCTCTAACGCGAAACGAACGAAAAATAACAGATATGGTTGCAGTTAATTAAGGGAAAAGTCTTTTTTTATAGAATAGGGGTGATAAATGAGTGCACAACCAACTTATGAGGGTAGATGTATACACCTACATCTACCCTCGATTAATAATCAAATTGCTGATATGCATTGTTATCTCTGAGGACTAAGATGGAATGACTCGTTACCAGTAAAATGTCTCCGGTTATTTCTACACTCACCATACACAACACAGCAGCATTATGATGCTATTTCACGATGGTGTTCTGTGAGAGCGTGGTCCTTCCCCGATTGAGTCGACCCAATCGTGCTACAACTATATAATGCTATAGCTGCAGCGTGGTACTACCATATGGTTTCTGATTATGTAGTACTTTTGTGAGTTTTTTTTATTATTAGTGTTTAGAATATCTTAATAGTAACCGAATTTAAACACAAGTTAAAGATATATTTTTTAAAACTTTTAAAATAAAACGTAAAAGCCAACTTCAAAGAACTGAAAAGAATAAAATAATGTTACATTCTGAAGTCAGCGCTAGACATAGTGTATAGGGGAAGTAATGCCCCGATTTCAGAATGTGAAATCATTTTATATTTTTAGTTATTTGATGTCAGCTTTAGCCATGTAGGAATGTCATCTTGTTGTTTTTTTTTTCCTATTTATTTGATAATAATCTTGCAATATTTTAGTTACTATTTTACGGCATAAATATAAGCTATATTTACATATAAGCTTTAACGTATACCAATGCCAAATATATCATAATAATTTTTATGCCTAATATTTATGTCATACTTTATAATATTGTGATATATGTATTTAACCGCGCTTCCCGTATAGTCAAGGAACAGGTAGCAGGTTTATGGTCTAAATAGTTACATAAAAATTTCAATTTCCATTATATCACTCTTAGGGTTGAAGTTTTTTTTAATATGATTACTATCTTTGAAGTATAACTTATTTAATTAAAAAAATCATTCAAATTGGTTCACAATTGACGAATATATCACATAACATACATACTAAAAACATAGAGTCGGGAAGAGGGGCCCTAGACGATATTTCGACCGAATTGGCGATATATTTAAGATGGGCCAGGTTAAGAGTACCCTTAACCGACGAGCGTGTATGCGTATGAAGATGGATGTAAAGGAGGCGAGAGGGTTTGTCAGGATCTTACTAAATAGAAGTCCGTAGTCTCTTCATATACCACTGGGTGACAGGCGTGAGTGTTTTATGTAAAAAACGTGTAGTGACAAAAAAGTGGCGTAGTGTCTTACCAATGACTTGCAGCGCTGGGGGTCGCGGGTTCGAATCTCGTACTGAACAAGTATTTGTATGGCCTACAAATAATTGTTGTGGGTCTAGATGTTTATCCTGTGCAATTTATGTTTGTACACTGCCTCCACGATACAGGAGAAAATCCTAATGTTAAGAGTAACGTTTTTTTTTAAAGGAGAGAAAAAAGGTTGTAAGTGACGCTGCAGCCTTTCCTTACAACTTTAGTCTGGGACGTTTCACTGCGTTGTTATCCTTAGCGATTAAGAAAAATGGTAAGTCGATGCAGCGACTCGTAGACCAACGTCAATTAACAATTCAATTAAAAAAGATTCAAAGGCTGAAAAGTTGTTACTGAGAACTAATATGGACTACCACGTTACTAGTTAAAAGGGTCACTGGTTAGGTCACTCAGATATTCTTTGAGAGCGTGAAATCTAGTCTACTCTGATACGTGACAAAATTTTGCCAACACCGGTTTCTACAACCCAACCAACCAACACTAAACATCATTTGTAATAGAAACGAAAGTAAAATAGAAAACAATTATTCTAATATAGCAACCAAGACCAAGCGTGAAACATGCTCCGGGTCACATTAAATCTCCATTAACCTCCATAAATTCATCCTTTCGATGACAAGCACTATAATTAATGCCAGCATAAATCTGTCTGTGTACGTGGAGCGGACATTCACGGATTGGAATTTAAAATTAAAGATTAGACTAAAGCTGAAAGTTAATACTTAAAATTTAGCCTGACACACACACACATACACATCATATGAATAATACACACACTCAATTGATTCCTAATTACTCCACCGTGTGATTGTATTTTTAACCTTTATGAAATAGATTAATCCTTTATCCTCTGTTATTAAGTTGTCATGTCGGATAAAGCCGCTGTTTCTAATGATGAATGACAAGAACCGGATATTTTTAGTGAAAACGATGTTTCCATCTTAATCCTTATCCTTAGAGATGACAAGGCATCTGCATTTTGCTTTGTCATGGAATTAAAAGTCTTTATTTTACGTAAAAAATTAAAAATGCGTTTCTCAACCGTCGTCTAGATGAGAGTTTTCCAGGTTGCAGCATCCACTTACAGGTCGACTTTGCGCTCGTTTCTAATTCTTTATCGCCATCATAATCATCATTACAGACCTCCTTAATCATTTTCTCATGAAGGATAATATATGCCACGTTTGGCAAGTGGGTTTGGCAGTTGGCAGCCGCAGCGTAGTTTGTTATTTTTGGTTGATAGGCCTCCTCCATAGATTGTCTCCTAGGAGGAATAATTTACATAGGTACCTCTTGGCAAGCGGGTTGACAAATGCAGTTTGTTATTTTCAATTGCTAATGATGACGCTGGCGCCCATCTTCTGATCTGTTTACTTCTGTCGCCTCTCGACACCTACGGGACGATATGAAGTAGTGGATATTCTTACACCCCCACTACACGGAAAATAATCAAGATATAAATGACATAATAAGGTCAATTAATTACATATTTTTTATAATGATGACGGTGAATGCAATTGTGCGTTAACACGACCATGAACATTTATTTATTGAATGATATTTTCGCGTATAAAAAGGTTTGTAACTTCTACCTAAGTCATTATGATCAGACCATAGGTTCGCTACCCCTACCTCGATCGAACCATTTGTCATCAATGCCCATTTTGGTTAACTTAGGTTACACGTCACGTAGTTATTGAAGGTATTGTACCCCTGGCCTAGGCCATACAAGATCAGACTATAGGTTCACTATCCCTGCCTCCACCAGACTATGGATTATCAATGCCCTATTCTGGTTAACCTAACTTTCAGGTCATGAAATTATTGAAGGGACGTACTATACGTATAAAAAGGTTTGTAAGCCTGACCTAAGCATAATAGAAGACCATTGGTTCACTACCCCAGCCTTGATTAGACTATTGATCATCAATGCCTATTTTGGTTAGCGTACGTTTCACGTCATGTCGCACGTATGTTTGTGTCATGTTAGCCCAGGTACACCAGCTTTGTACAAACCACGGTCTGAACCTGTAACCCGATAGTAGCGTCGGCCACCGAGCGCGACGGGCGTAACCGACACCGTCTAACGAGGAAAGTTGGTTTCCTTAACGGGGAAATTCGATTTATGTAACTTTCCAGGCGTGAAGCTGTTACATGTAATGGATACACTTGAAGATTTTTACATGAATGATGTGGGCAGACAGTCACGGAAGTTAATCAGGAGAAATTTTAGCTTCATTTACTATAGGTACAGAAACTTACATAGTAAGGACCACCTGTCTGAGGGGTTAGAGTACTTGATTAACGAGTGGAAAGTCCTAGGTTCGATGCCAGATGAACAAAATGTTATATAATTATTGTCTTTCTATTTCTGACACTGCAGCCTACCTTAACTACGATGTAATCACGTATTAGGATCAGATTAATGTCCAATGTCCTCTGATAGACGGCACCGTAACCATCTTGAACTTTTTCCATATTAAAAAAAAGTTTGTGTCGTAGTGGCGACGAAAGAATAATCACTAGCCCATATCCTATGGCAAATATAACTCCAATGAGGCAATTTATGGGGGAGGTCTATGTTTATCAGTGGACTTTTGATAGGTTATACCAATGATAAATTAATAAATTGTTACTTAATTAACCTAATGTTTTGAGAAGAAGAGGCAGATGTCGCCTCAGTTACTGATACGGAATTCCATCGTTCTCCAGTGATTATGCATCTTTACCTTTTCATAGAGAATGGAAGAATTGCTTATATGCTGACCGTTTTTTTAACACCAAGATGTCTGTTGTACGCTTGTGGATTTTCTTATTTTTACAATATTCGCCGTGCTCAGTCACTTTATTCTTCAAATATCTAATCAAAGCATATTACTTGAAACTTTAATATTTCACGTCAAGTTTGCCGTCCTTTCGTATATCTATCCTTGTCATCCTCAACTGTTATCATCTAGTGTCTTTATATTTATGTATACCTCTTTGCCATTCTTTGTGCACCACAGTGCGATGACACCGCTTATTGTACCTTTGACTTAAAGTGATAGAAACATCACGAGACTTAACGCCATCTTAAAATTGAGTAGATTTTGAGTATTTGCCTAAAGCAGATAAAAATCTATTAATAAACAAATAGGGCACCTACCTCTCTTCGAGCATCTCGTTGAAGGTCTTAGACTTGGCGCGCGGCTGGCTAGGCTCGCACTCCAGGCGGCGCACCTCCACGCACCGCTCGATGATGTGCTCCACCCGCTTCCGCCGGGACGACTTCCAGTTGTCCAGGTTCTAGAAAATAAATAGTTTTGTTACAGATTTATAATACGATATTCAATTAGTATTACGAAAATAGACTTTATTGTACAATAGTGGCGAAGTAACCATCGTAAAAATTGCATATTTAGAAAAAACGGATTGCTAATTATCTTAAGACCTGTTAGAAAATAACCGTAGACCCTATTACAAGAAAGGAGGCATTTCATCTTAGTCCTCAGGGGTGACAACGCATCTGCATTTAGATTCCTAATCGGGGGAAGATGTCTATGGGCCACAGCATCCACTTAACATCAAGTGGACTGTGTGCTCGTTTGTCACCCTTATTCTATATAAAAAAGACTACTGTGTAAAGAGTACTAAAGTATACTCGATATAAGAATAAAAAACTTTGACGACCTGATGAAAGATGGATGGAGTTGATCGAAGTAGTGATATATATATATATATATATATATATATATATATATATATATATATATATATATATATGTATATGTATATATATATTCTCTCGCGGCTCTACCCGTAGCTCTCACGACACTTCAAAAGGTTAGCTGGCAGAATGCCTTTTCGGCATTAAGTTCGCATTTGTACCAAATAGTTTTGTTTGAGTGCAATAAAGAATTTTCTATCTATCTATCTATCCAAGCAAAAGCATTTAAAGCTCAGTTAGTGATTAACGGGAATGTTAGTCTTAAAAGCATTTCTAGTGCTGTTTTAAACAAAATAACATAAACCATTTCAAAATGCTAGGAATCCTTTTTTGACTACGATTCCTTCTTTGTAGGTATCATCGTCTTACCGATTCCTGTCGCAAAATAGTAGTGCGTGCACTGCTATTCCGGTCTGAAGGGTATAAGGAGTCAGAATTAGTAAGTCATTTCATTCTAGTCCTTAGGAGAGTACTTTGTTTGGAGTAGGATAGCGGTGTATGGACTATAGTAGCCACCAACCATCACTGGTGGACTGTATGTTCTTTTGTTACTTGAGTTTTATAAAAAAAGCATATATTATTATGTCCACTTGCTACTAGCATTACATGATTGCCCTAATACGATAGATAAGTGAAATTTTAGTTACACTTCTTTAAACTAAAACATATATAGGTCAATTTTAATTAAATACCATAATCTTTAAACTAAAACATATATAGGTCAATTTTAGTTAAATACCATAAGTCTTTAAACTAGAACATAGATAGGTCAATTTTAGTTACATACCATAAGTCTTTAAACTAAAAGATAGATAGGTCAATTTTAGTCACATACCATAAGTCTTTAAACTAAAACATAGATATAACAAGGTAGCCTTTTTGAACTCGAATAAATCAATCCCGCTTAGCCACCGCAACGAGCGTACGTTCTACGTATCGCGCGGATGAATGGCGCCTCGCGTAATAAATTGGTAGAATATAAAAATATCTAATATATACTACTTTACCGGCGGCATTAAATTTCTATACAGGAATATCTTACCTCTTACCATGTAGTAGCGTTGTAGGAATATCCACTACAGCATGTTATCATTCCATGGGTGTCGTAAAGGCGTCAGAAGGAAACAAATCAAGAGATAAATATGGGAAATAGTATGGAAAGAAATGTTCCCCCTACGAGACAACCCATGGGGGGAGGCCTATGTTCAGCAGTGGACTCTCATAGGCTGGAGCGGTAACAGGCATATCTTACAATATAAGTGATCGCCTGTTCTAAGTGAACGGAAATAGTCTTTAATGCGAATATTTCAAGCTCGCAACAGCACTTGATAAAATTTCGCTATCGCGGACGCAATGCAATGATTGCAAGATAAACATCGCACATTATATGACGGATATTAAGATAGTTGCTGGCAACGTTGAGCAACAGTTAGATTTGCGACACGAGTCCGCAACGTGCTGCAATGAATTTCTTTAGCCCAACCCATGATTTTACATATTATCAGGACATTTTAGATCGCGGATTATTTTATAGAATGATGGTGACAAACGAATACAGTCCACCCGACGGTATGTGGATGCTGTGGACCATAACCTTATCGAATGCGTTGTCACTCCTGAGGACCAAGATGGAAGGCTTCGCTTTCAATAAAAAACGTACCCGCTTCTATACACTCACCATACGGAACACAGCAGCACTAAACTGCTATTTGATGCTGGTATTATGTGAGAGCGTGGTCCTTCCCCGGTCGAGCCGATCCATTCGTACTGCAACCATAATATAGCTGCAGCGTGACTTCACTACACATACGATAAAATGTTGGATTGAAGGTAGTTCACACTCTGCTGGTTTCTACAACATTTATATATCTTTCTTTCTTTTTTTGACTTTGGGAAGACTGTGCGTTTTCCCATAGAAGATCCAAATGCAAGGTTTACTAATGTACGAGTATAGCTTGTTAAATGTAATGGAATCTTAAAGTTATTAACGTATACTTATTTAATATTTATTACAATAATAAAACTAAATAGTTATCATACAATCCTACTCCCCGCGGTATAGTGCTAATATCATAAGTTAATTATAGTCAAGATAACAGTCTTTTTAGATTGACCAAAAATATATACGTATTTCAAATCGTTTGCCGAGTGGTAACTGGTTACCTTAACTTCGCTTCGGGTGTTCGCAATCAGTGCTTGTAATATTTGTGGTCAATTTCTTGGAAACGGCTCTAATGATTTCAACGAAATCTACAGGTTAAAAATTTCGTTTCCAATTACAAATACGGTATTGGGCGAAAATGATATAAGTGATATTCGTTGGGTTGTTTCGAAATAAACTCGCTCAGTTCACCAAAGTGGTAACTCTTTATTAGACTAATCTATCTTTTCATGAGTTCGCTAAAAATACTAAGAACTTTTTACTAATCTTAGTCAAAATAAGTACAAAAACCTTTCTCAATACCGATAGTATTTTGAAGCGCGAGTAATTCTTGCTGATGGCGCACCTACCACATAGTTATAAATGGAAGTAAATGTCACAAATAAGTACACAGTCCACCTGATGGTATGTGTACGCTGTGGCTCATAGACACCTACGTCTATCCTCGATTAATGACAAAAAAGCAGATGCGCAGTTACAGCTGTGAACTTAGATCAAATGCGTCTTTACCACTAATGAAACATGGCAACATTATGATGCAATTTAACGCTGTTATCCTGTGTGACTGACTCGCCGGTCTAGAGATCGTAAGCGCGACTACTAATGATGAGATTCTGAGTTCGAATTCCTGATCGGGTCATAAAATATAGAGTCGAGAGAGCCGGAGTCAGGAAATTGGCGACGTTTCACCCCCGTGCCTTGGAAGGCATATAAGACGTTGGTCCTGTGCCTAATCTTTTTTCGATCGTGTCGGATTACCGTCATAGGACTATGAGAGTGAGGGAATAGTGCACCTGTAGTCTATACGTGGTAAAGCCATGCTGCAGTTACATTAGTAGTATAGTTGTAGCACGAATGGGTCGGCTCGACCGGAGAAGGACCACGTTCTCACAGAATACCAGCGTAAAATAGTAGCTTAATGCTGCTGTGTTTCGTATGGTGAGTGTAGAGAACTTTTTTACTGAAAACGAGGCATTCCATCTTAGTCCTCACGGTGACATCTGCATTTTGATTTGAAATTGAGGATAGATGTACATGTCTATGGGCCTCAGCAACCACTTACCCATCAGGTGGACTGTCTGCTCGTTTGTCACACTTATTCTATAAAAAAACCTGTGTTTGTGTACACGTGCACTATAATCCTCTCCTACGCACATGGTAAGTCCCCGTTGGAACTGATTCGTATGGTGAGTGTAGAGAACCGGAGACCCTTTGTACAGACAACGAGCATTTACTTTTCATTATTTACATTTTGGTCCTTAATCGAGGATAGATATATACCTATGGGTCGCAGGATCCATTTGACATCAGGTGGAGTGTGTGCCCGTTTATCACTCCTATTCTATAAAGAAAAAAACTGGCCGTGATCGAAATTCGGTCTGGAAAAAATTATTATGTGTTCATTTCACGGTCGAAATGACCCATTCGCGTTGTATGCTGTAATGCAGTGTGGCTCTATCATAAACTTGTAACCCATTAAGTCGCGTGCGTAAGCTTTCCAGTCGAGTACAAAAAGTATAACTTTTTTGTGTCCCCACTTCCGCAAGATTAATAAACTTCCGCAACAGCGCAAGTTGCTGTTCCGGCTAAAAAGAATACTACATTATCTTTACAACTTTTTATTTTTGTAGAATCAATCAACTTTCAAACGTTTACGTTACGTGGTCATTGTGTTTAATGAACGCGAATATTATACATAGGTATATTGTATATTATGTGTGAAAACTAGGTTGTACAACCAGTACGTGTTGTTTATCTACTCAATTTAAAATAATAATAATATATAGAACCCAACCAGGTGAGAAAATTATATAGATACCCCAATAATAATGATAAAACCTCAAAGATATTCTATGTATCTCTTCGTTTTGACGGTTTATATAATGGAATAATTAATTATTCTCGAATATTTTATAAATTAATATACATAAATAATTAATGAAGACTGATAATACATTGTATGTAAATTTAAAAATTCATACATAATTTATTTATTACTGCGTCTATTAACTAAAGGGATCGTTGAAGTTAGACATCCAAAGATAGGAATTATTTATTAAATATTTGAGAGGTATTTATGTATGTACGAATTATGGATCTGAGACGTGGTCCTTCACTGCTGGCCGTATGAGGACTCACAAGGTCGCTCAGCGAGCTATGGAGAGGGCTATGCTCGGGGTTTCTTTGCGTGATAAACTTAGAAATGAGGACACCGTAATAAAACCACGGTGGCCGCCATAGCCCAACGGATTAGTAAGCTGAAGTGGCAATGGGCCGGCCATATACCTCGAAGAACCGACAACCGATCGGGAAATAGATTCTTAAGTGGCAGCCTCATACCGGTAGGCGACCCTCCACTAGATGGAGTGACGACCTGGTAAGACATGCAGGAAGTCGATGGATGCAGGTGACTCAGGA